TCAGCAGACATTTTCTTTTGTTTAGTAACTTTCCTTTCCTCCTAACTAGACCACCTTTATGCCTGTTCATAGCACACAATTAGGAGAGGGACAAAGTCTAGGGTTTCATTTAGACTATGTGTGCAAAGAGGGCACCAACAGAAGGTTTAGGCTGCTAAAAGACCTCTCTCCTAAGACCTACTTGGACTAAGTCAGAGCTGGAGTCTGAGGGTTGAGGCTGAGAGAAGGGCTAGGGTTAGGAGCAAAGCAAAGCCTCAAGTTACACTTGGTGTGGGCTGAAGGGAACTGTCCAGGGAAGGCTTGGGCTGCCAACAGCTTTACACCTCTGAGAACATGGCTTAAAGCTCTGCCTGTGCCCATCCCTAGGGTTAGCAGAAGGGTAAATCCTAGAGTTTCTGTGGGAGTAAGGCTGCAAAGGGGACTCCAAAGGAAAGGGCAAGCTTCTAGAAGACACACCTGAAGCCCCACAAGAAATTTTTTTGTCTGGATTATGCCCACGTCTGGCAATGAGGCTCATCCCATTCCTAGGATTAGGTTTAGAAATGAAATCCTGCTTGGAGCTCCAGATTGTTTGGGATTGTAAAGGCCATTTTTGCCTTCTGTTCTTGGTGATCTCTGATGTCTCTTCTGAAAATCATTTTCTTGTCTTGGGCCCTTCTCCCCCTCTTGGCTACATCCGTTATCATATTTGAAATAAAATTTTCTACTTCATGTTTTAATTCAGTCTGTCCTTGATATCAGCTATCTCTGATTGGCTTTTGCTATCAATTGTGTAGCGTTTCCCTAAGTTCTTCATCATTCCTAGCTTTGGTGTTGACACTGATTTGAATGTTTTAGGATGCTGATAGGGTGAGATATCAGGAAGCAGAAAGAGACTCTGGGTCAGCTGTGAAAGGACTGTGTGTCGCAGTGTAATACAAGCCTATTTCAGAACTGAAGCTTCATCTTTTTGACAGGAGAGGGAGGCTGTGTGCAAGGAAAGATTGTAGGCTGTTGTTTCTGCATTGCTGGAAAGGAAGGTGTTTTTCTGGAAGAGTTCTTTTCCGTGGACCATTTCTAGTTCTGTTGGGCTTTTTTGGGGGAGACTCTTTTTGGATTTTCTTTCTGTTTTGTTTTGCAGGGATGGGTGAGTGGGAATGAATTTGGGTTTTTTGGGGAGGGGTGGATGTTCTAAGTGGTTTGGTTTTGTTGTTGGTTTGGGGTTTTTTTGTTGTTGTTTTCCCCCTCTTCCTGCTCTCCCATTGTTTTATTTGCAGTGCTTTACATCACCTGATGAGCCTTCAAATGCTGTGTTAGGTATTCTCTGAGGACTCTTCTTTGCAAGCTCTTTCTGACAGAAAGCAATGTCAGTCAGATCCATTTTTCCACATTCAGTTTTGTGTCATCATACTTTCCCTAGAGAGGAGAATGAAAATTTAATTATAGGAGACTTCATAAACACCTTTTTTGTTTTTGAAGTCTGCTTTGAAGATCCCGTGCATATTTATGACTGAAGGCATAATACCTTGAATATTTTTTTTTCCTGTGTTATATCCCCACTGTGTCTGTTTCAACCCTGCAGTTGGAGAGTGGGTGGTATTAAGCTGAATGACAGAAAGTGCTCAGGCAGAGCCTGTTCAGAAGTGATATGACAGTTATTTGATTCTCTCCTGGACAAAATGCTGATAAATTGTCCATCTGCTTTTATCTTGTAACCAGCAGGGGCTCTGTGGTGTTAATGGATTCATTGCTTCAGAAAACAGTGGCAGAGCAGATATTCTATCTTAACCTTTTCGACTCATGTTTTAACTGTCAGGGCTTTAAATTTTAAAAAGATGAAGTACTGTCCATAGGCCTGAGCTTGTTCACTGTTCTCTGTACATGAAGGTGCATAATCTTCACAGCCCCCAAACGGATGGACTCAGACAGGCATCTCTTTGCTGGGTAGAAAACTGGCTGAATGGCCAGGCCCAAAGAGTGGTGGTGAATGCTACATTCAGCTGGTGGCTTGTCACTAGTAGGGTTCCCTATGGCTCTGTACGGGGGCTAGTCCTGTTTAATATCTTTATCAATGATAGATGAGGGAATTGAGTGCATCCGCAGTCAGTTTGCAACAAGCTGGTGCCAAAGTGGGAGTGTTGATCTGCTGGACAATAGGAAGGCTCTGCAGAGGAAGCTGGCCAAAGCCAATTGTATGAGGTTCCACAAGGTCAAGTGCCAGGTCCTACACTTGGATATCAATAACTCCATGGAATGCTACAGCCCCATGGAAGGCTTGGGGTAGAGGGGCTGGAAAGCTGTTCAGCAGGAAAGGACCTGGGTGTCCTGGTCAACAGCCAGCTGAACATGAGCCAGCACTGTGCCCAGGTGGACAAGAAGGCCAGTGGCATTCTGGCCTACATCAGCAACAGTGGCCAGCAGGACCAGGGCAGTGATTGTCCCCTTGTACTGGGCACTGGTGAGGCCACACCTCAAATTTTGTGTTCAGTTCTGGGCCCCTCACTACAAGAAAGACAATGAGGTGCTGGAGCGTGTCCAGAAAAGGGCCATGGAGATGGTGAAGGGTCTGAAGCACAAGTCTGATGAGGAGCAGCTGAGGGAACTGGAGGTGTTTAGCCTGAAGGAAGGGAGGCTCAGGGGAGACCTTATCACTCTGTACAACTACCTGAAAGGAGACTGTAGCCAGGTGGAGGTTGGTCTTTTCTCCCAGATAACAAGTAATAGGACAAGAGTAAATGTCCTCAAGCTGTAGATTGGATATTAGGGAAAATTTCTTCACTGAAAGGGTTGTCAAGCCCTGGAACAGGCTGCCCAGGGAAGTGGTGGAGCCGCCATCCCTTGAGGTATTTAAAAGACATGTAGGTGTGGCCTTTAGGGATATGGTTTAGTGGTGGACTTGGCAGGGATGGGTTAATGGTTGGACTCGATGGTTTTAAAGTATTTTTCCAATCTAAATGATTATACGATTCTATGAAATGTAGCTTTGTGAAAGCAGGTGTACTACTTCAGCTTCAAAAAGGTTTTTGACATGCTTTTCTGAAATTGTCATGAGGTATGTTCCTTAAAGTCAGCTTGAGTGCTATAAATGTACATGTGTTATATAAATATGCATGAAGATTTCCATTATATAGTTAAAAGATTAAAGTATAACTAAAGCGAGATTTTATTTAAAGAAATTTGTACATATAATATCTTAAATTGGGCTGACACCTAGTGGTGGGTATGCTTCTAATACAATAGTATACAGTCTAGGTATCCTTTGGTTCTGTGGATCCTCTAAGTTAAACTAAGGCTGCTTGAAACTATGTTTTTCTTAGGGAAGGCCAGAGAAGACTTGGATTTGCTCAAAAGAAAAGCTGTCCCTGGAGTTCTTTCCCTTTATCTTTCCTGAAATTCGTCTTCTTTCTGCCTGCTTTTGCCCTCTCATCATCCTTTGGGGTGCACTGCTTTGCCATACGTCTATATGTTAACAGAGCAAATGGGTAGTTTAAAGCCCAAGTAAATTTTCAGCTCTTTCCTGCTGAACAGCTGATGATGCACTTTGTGGTTCCAAATTAGAAACTGAAGATGATGTTCAGGATGTTTTCTGCCAGTATCCAGCTGATTAAACAGCTTCTGTTAAAGGGACAAAGCTTTCACTTCATAGAGTCATAGAATGGTTTGGGTTGAAAAGGACCCTGAAGATCACCTAGTTCCAGCTCTCCTGGCCATGAGTAGGGACACATTCCACTAGACCAGGTTGCTCAGAGCCCTATCCAGCTTGCACACTTCCAGGAATGGGAAATCCACAGCTTCTCTGGGCAACCTGTTCCAGTGCCACAGTAAAGAATTTCTTCCTAATATCTAATCTAAACCTGCCTTCTTTCACTTTGAAGCGATTTTCTCTTGTCCTGTCACTATATGCCTTTGTGAAAAGTCCCTCTCCATCTTTTTTGTAGGATCTCTTCAGGTCCTGGAAAGCTGCAGTTAGGTCACCCCAGAGCCTTAACTTCTTCAGGCTGAACGATCTCAGTTCTTTTAGGAGAGATGTTCCATTCCTCTAATCATCTTGGTGGCCCTTCTCACAACTTGCTCCAACAGGTTGATGTCCTTCCTGTGCTGGGGACCCTAGAGCTGGATGCAGTGCTCCAAGTGGGGTCTCACCAGAGTGGAGCAGAGGGGCAGAATCCCTTCCCTCACCCTGCTGGCCACCCTTCTTTTGATGCAGCCCAGGACACGTTTGGCTTTCTGGCCTGTGAGCTCACACTGCCGGCTCATGTCCAGCCTCTCATCCTCCAGCATCCCCAAGTCCCCTCGGCAGGGCTGCTCTTGATCTGTCCATCCCCCACACTGTATTGATACCAGGGGTTGTCCTGACCCAGGTGTAGCGCCTTGGACTTGGTCTTATTAAACCTCATGGGATTCCCATGGGCCCATTTCTTGCACTTGTCCAGCTCCTTCTCAGTGGCATCCCATCCTTTAGGTGTGTCAACCACACCACTCAGCCTGGTGTCATCTGCAAATTTGCTGAGGGTGCACTTAATCCCTTTGTCTATGTCATTAATGAAGATATTAGATAACACTGGTCTTGGTACAGAACCCCCTGAGGGACACCACTTGTCACTGATGTCCATCGGGACACTGAGCCCTTCACCACTACCTTCTGGATGTGACAGTCCAACCAATTCCTTATCCACCAAACAGTCCACCCAGTCTAGCTCATTAATATAATAAGTAAATAAACCATACGGACCCAGCTGGCTTGGGGGTTCACTGCCAAAGCCTCTTTATTCAAATGAGACAACAGCTTATAGAGGGGTTAACACGTCACACCACGTGACCTTAACAACCAATCACCATGGGTATCTCACGGCCCATGTGATGGAGTACTTGGGAAACTACATCTCCCAGGGTGCTGTTCGGCACCTTCCTGAAACCCGACTCCTACAACCCAGGATGTCATGAAGGATCATCTCTAAGGCCTCATGGGAATGATCTGTAGCCTTCTGTTGTCCACAGATGTAGTCACTCCATCACAGAAGGCCACTGGGTTAGTCAGGCGGGACTCGCCCTTGGTGAAGCTGTGCTGTTCTGAATCACCTTCCCATTGTGCATGTGCCTTAGCTTCTAGGTGAATCTGTTCCATGATCTTCCTAGGCACAGAGGTGAGGCTGAGAGCTTGGTAATTCCCAGGGTCCTCCTTTCTACTCTTTTTAAAGATAGATGTGTTCCCTCTTTCCAATAGCTAGAACTTCACCTGCCTCCCATGACTTTTCAAGTATCACAGGCAACTATCAGCCAATTCCTTCAGGATTCTGGAATGTATCTCATCAGGTACAATGATCAGGTACAATCTTAGGTACAGATTCCTCGGGTGGTCATGAACCTGATCTTCACTTGCAGTGAGAAGCACTTTGCTTCCCCAGTCCTACTTTTACAGTCCATGCACTTAAGAGATATGGGAAGAGAGGTTGCCATTGAAGACTGAGCCTTCTCCTCATCTGCTAGCCAGTTTGCCAGCCTTGCTTATTGGGGGATACACCTTCTTTGATCTTCTTTCTCTGGCTAACATACACATCTGTAGAACTCCTTCTTGTTATTCTTTGCATCCCTTGCCAAGTTCAGCTCCAGCTTCACCTTGGTGTTCCTCACCCTATCCCTATGCAACTAGACTGTGTCCCTATATTCTTCCCAGGTTACCTGTCCTTGCTTTTGTTGCCTGCGCATATGCTTCTTGCCCTTTAGTTTGACCAGCAGGTCCCGATTCAGACATGCTGGTCTCTTGCCTTCCTTGCCCAGTTTCTTGTCCCTGAGGATCCCTGACTCTTGTGCTCTATGGAAGATGTCCTTAAAAATTTGCCATGTCCCTGAAGACAGTTTCCCCAGGGATCATCTTGACTAGCTCCTTGAAGAGCTGGAATTTTGCTTTCCTAAAGCTGATCAGACCTTTAAATAAAAAAAACACAACTGGAAAATTAGTAAGTAGGACTTGTTGCTGGTTTCTCAGGAGGTGCAACATAAAGCCTAAATTTCTGGTTCACTGGTTTCAAGGTTATGTTAAAGAGAACTAGGAGGAAGAGGATTAAGGGCCACCTGATCCAGAGGAAGCAGCTGATCTGTGGGGATGTAGCACTTGGCCATGATAACTAGCAAGGTGATGTAGGCTTAAAAAGGAGGTCCCTGTGGCTGAGATAAAACAACACTGAGTAAGAAAGAATCAGCACTTTCAGAGTGGCTGAAATGTATGGACCCTGCATATAATAGGATATAATAGGGCTGTTGGTTTATGCAATAGTCAACTTCTTAATGTTTGGTCTGCTAGAAGATACTGCCTCTACTTACACTACTTTCTTATAGTGTAGACAGTCCCATGTACACTACAATGCCTGCAGAAGTGGCTTTGCTCACCAGATAGATGCCAACACTGTGTCTGACCTGAATAGCACTGCTCATCTTGGGATTATTTCACTTCTTTCTTAATAACTGGAGCTAATACTATACAGCACCAGTGGGTTTACAGGTATGATGCATTTTGCCTGTGTCTAGAGTTTTGTCTGTCTTTTTTAATTTAATTTTTATGGGTCCCTTTTATTGTACCATAACGTCTGTCTGTCGTCAGCTTTTATAGAGTACAAATAAAGATAGGGATGCAAATGAGTGTAAATCCCTGAAGCAGAATTTAAGAATGTGGCACCAAGATAAATCATAATCCAGCAACGTAACTTTCCCTCTCTCTGTCTGTTCAGTTATTGGTCGATTGAATACACTGGTTTTAGTAAGGAAGAAGATTCTTGGCCCTTATATAGACAGTTATTCATATTACTTCAGTATTTACTTTGGCAGTTTACAGAAAAAATATCTTATTGGCCAGTGATTATAAAACATGAGCTTTCTAATTTCTACAAATATTTTTAGGTTTAATAGATATATTTTTAGTTCTACCAGAGGATACATTGTTGTCCAGTAGGTGTTGTTCCACTAAGTGAAGTGTGACTTATTATTGATGTATGGCCTCAGCCTTTTGATGAATACTGTCCCCACATGTCTATTATCAAGCTAAAATTAGTCCATATTTAGATGCATGAGTTGAGGGTATAATAACAGGAGTAAGTATTTGGAGACTGCAAGAGTATTCCAGAAGTTCCTGTGTTGTCAATATATTGGCCAGCAGTTGTACTTTCTATAAAATAAATACTCTCAGAATAATAACTCATTTTTTCATCCCAAAATAATTTAGTCCCCCCAAAGATTTTGCAGTGCTGGAGAGGATCTCATGAACAGCAGCCAAATCACCATAATCCTCTCCTGTCACAGCAGAAGGTTCTTTTCCTTAGTTATGGCTCATTTGCAAAGCCCAAATCTCAAATATATCCATTCTATTAAAAGAGGTCAGTCCCAAACTCACAGCTGGATAATCTCATCCCTTAGTTGTAGATTAAAAATTCTCAGGCTTTCATTAATTATTTGCATTTCATTCCTGATCTCTCAGCAGTCATGCACAGTAAGGGCTTGTGTCCAACCCATGTGCTTTTGGATTCTTTTGTTTCATGACAATCTGGGTAACCTCAATATAAGAAAGATATTAAGCTCTTAGAGAGTGTCCAAAGGAGGGCAACAAAGATGGTGAAGGGCCTTGAGAGGAAGCCGTATGAGGAGCGGCTGAGGGCACTTGGTCTGTTCAGCCTGGAGAAGAGGAGACTGAGGAGACCTCATTGCAGTTACAAATTCCTTGTGAGGAGAAGAGGAGGGACAGGCACTGATCTCTTCTCTGTGACAGGATCTGAGGGAACGACCTGAAGCTGTGTCAGGGGAGGTTTAGGCTGGATATTAGAAAGAGGTTCTTCACCTTTTGGGCAGTGGTTGGGCACTGGAACAGGCTCCCAGAGAAGTGGTCACAAGGCTGACAGAGTTCAAGAAGCATTTGGACAATAGTCTCAGGCACATGGTGTCACTTTTGGGGGTGGTCCTGTGGAGGGCTAAGGGTTGAACTCGTTGATCCTCATGGGTCCCTTCCATCTCAGCATATTCTGTGATTCTGTAAAAATGAGCATAAGTAAAGATTTTGGACCTAGATGATTAGTAAAAATTATTAGTGCCAGAACTCTTTTTAAAATATCAGTGAAGCAAAAATAATTGAAGTTTTAAAAGGTACTAGGATATTTATGAAAATCACTGAAAAAAAAAAAAAAGCTTCTTTCACATGGACTTAATGTGTGTTAGTGGCTGACAGATTTCAGAAAGTCTTAATGTCTGCTGATGTTATACTCAAAGAGTTAGTATCACTTCTCAGTTCTGTGTAGTTTTCACCTAGTCACCCAAATTGCAGGGTCAGCAGCCAGGCAACAATATCTTGGTCCAGTCTTGCTGAATGGCATTGCTTTTCAGTCTGTCAGAGTTTCCAAATGTATTGCACCATCTTTAAGTTACTCATTTTTGGTTCATTTTTTGACATGCATCATATTAAAGCCTTGTTTTGTGCAGCTTCTTGCTGTTGCATTTTGCTAACCTTTTCCCACAAAACAGTGGATAGAAGGTACTATGTCAATGTATTGGCCATGATTAAGAAGTCTTTGAAGCTGAGAGTTAATTTTAATACTCATTAGCTAAAATTATTTCACTCTTATTTCAAATACATTTCTTCATGTGACTGTATTGCTTGCCCCACTGAAATAAAGTTTAAATCCCCCATTTTGCTATTATAGCTTTACTTTTCTGCGTTTGATCACAGTGGTTGTGAATGGCTGTAGATAAGTCTTGTCCTTATTTGATCAATTATAATTTGATTTAGTCTTTTTATTGGTAAAAAATTGTGCTTTGGGCTATTTTGAAATATGTGCACTGAAAGATTTTGGATTCAACCAATTTTGGCATTTCATATTTTCTGTTTGTCTGGAGGTTGTTCAAGGTTTTTACTGTGCAATTAATCAGATTTTGTCTTTGGACAGAGTCATAAAGAGAGACTGTGAGGCATTATGTATCATAGTCAACTCCTCCAAAATATCTGTTGCAGAGCTAGTTTAATTTAAGAAACTGTAATTAGCTATCTTTCTCATCATTCCACCAAAAATGGAATTTTTTGAAAATTAAGTATATAGGACAGAATATTTGTAGTGGAACATTAACTACAGATCCAGATCTGGATCATGGCATGTGTAAATCTTGCTCATTTTCCTGTCAAAGTCTTCAGTAAATTCTTAAAATTCAGATTGATTTTACAGAAGTAATCCCAGATAAACTACTTACAAACACTTCTGGATGAAATATACCTTGTTTCAGGTACATCATAATCCAAAACTACCTGCATGCAGTGATTTACTCTGATATTGGCCAAAGGATGACAAAAACACTGAAGTTATTGGATTTAAATAGCAGTTCATTACTTTTGTTTGTAATTGTGCAGATATTTATAGCAACATTGTAAACACACATATCTGCACATCCTGTGGTGAATTGTTTGGTTGTGGATATGTGAGTTCTGACCCATGACCCTGTGGACAAGGATTCCAAAATTATTTGGTCAGTTAGAGAGCACTTAGGTAAAAGGAAGGATAGTTTCTCTTGCAGGATTGAGGAGTTCAGCCCTGTTTGTCAGAAAGCTCAAGCTTTCAAAGGCCAGCCCAGATTTAACTTGAAAATAGCTCAAGGTTTGGTTATCACATCTGATCTGAGGACAAGCATTTGACACTGCACTGGGTGATATGCAGAGCACAACCTCCCTTCCAGGTGTCTCTGTGCTTGGCCTGCCTATGATTGAATGCAGATTTTTATGCTCTCTGGTCCAGAAGTGACCTTCTGGTAGATGCACAGACCCATGGAGAGATCTAACTCTATCAATCGTTCTGTGCCCAGAGGATATAGATTCTACAGCAGTGACATTGCCTCACATCTGTCCTTGTTCCAGTCCTTCAGTATTTGTTCCTGTCTTAGAATCATAGAATTAATTGGGTTGGAAGGGACCTTTAAAGATCACTTAGTCAAAGATCATTTGAAGATCATTTAGTCAAAGATGATTTAGTCCAACTCCTCTGCCATCCATGACATCAGGCTGCTCAAAGCCCTGCCCAAGCTGGCTTTGAACACTTTCAGGAATGGAGCATCCAAACTTGTGTGGGAAACTTGTTCAGTGTCTTACTACGTTCATAGTAAAAGTATATAAAGATATATTCCTTATATATTATCTAA